CCTCTAAGGTTTATATTTATTACAGTTTTCTCTTAATATTTAGAAAATTACACTGACCTCCCTGTTAATTTAATTTCATGTATGATGATTATTACGGTGAGGGGGGAACTGGTATGAAACTTTAAATTTCAGGAGACAATCTGTAATGAAACTTTAAACCTCAGGGAGAGGGATGTAATTTACAAAAAATAAGGGAGAAAACTGTAATAAATATAAATCTCAGGGGTGTTAATATAATTTATCCTTTTTTAAGTTAGTGAGTGATATCTTACGTGAGACACACTATAGGCTACATTGAGAATATAAAATTTTCAATAATAGTAGGAATACTTAACTTTTTATACAACACTTTACATAATTATAAGATTTTTAATGTATGAGACTTACACACATATAACAACCTATGAATTTGTGTAAAAAAATTAAGCATTTATATTTTTACTGTAAAACTTTCTCTAGATTTTATGAAGGATTATTTTTTTGTCATTTGCTTTTCCTTTCCCCTTTTTAACATAAACTTCCTACCCTATAAGGTGTCCTGTACACTTCGGGAAGAAAAATAAGGTCATAGATATGGCATGCTAAATTACTTCTGACCAATTCATTTCAATTATTTTCAAATATAACATCTCAAACATTGTTAGCCATTTTAGCTAGTCAAAATATACTTGTAAAACAATGTCTTCTTTAGTTTAGTTATTCACTTTTGGAAAATAATAGACAAGCCCACTTCTAAACCCATTTTCAAGACTTAATAATATATAAGTGAAATGATTGGTTGATAATTAGAGAAGATATGAGAGAATATTACCTTTAGGCCATGTTTGTTTGGGCGGACTGGATTAGCATTTCCATAACTAATAGTCCTAGGACTACGAATCCGTTGGATTATGTATCCTATCTTAACTAATAGTCAAGTTTAAAATAATTAGTCCGTACTTCAATTGTTTAACCAAACATCGGATTAATAATTTTATTGGACTATTAGTCCAATCCCAACCTCATGTCCACCCAAACAAACATGACCTTAATATCCTAATTGATTGTCACATCGTTTGACTTGAAAATTAGGTCTAATTTTTTGTCTTGAATAACAATGCTCTTCACTTTTTGCAATGCATCCTCCAACGATATTCTATATTTTAGATAGCCACTTTCAATAACTATTTTTATTTTTTACTTTTAAATTTACACTCTAAAAAGAGAGGAAAAATAAGGAGATATAGAATAAATTAGTTTCTTCCCCCCCCCCAATGTTTAACAAGTGTAGATTTCCTCTCCAAATGTAAACTAGTCAAGAAGAGGAGAGACAAAATTACTAGAAAAAATATTACAAAAAAAATGGTTCCAAGTTAAGTTGGTTATGACTGCCAAAATGATTAGTTTGAATATATATAGTTTCATTAGCGGTCTAATAAGGTTCGTCCATGACTCTTTCTTTTGTGCCGTATATCATGAATAAGCCTTTTTTTTTTTTTAATCAATCAAAAAAAATCTTTATTAATGAAATTAAGAAAAATACATCAATAAAGGGAAAAAAAAAAGTGCAAAAATTACACTATACCATGAAGTTATGATAATGTCATAGTATGCCTTAAGGTTTGTATGCCTAGGGGTTGAATTACTCAACTTGAGTTTGGGCATCACTATGTGCATCAACTTGAGAAGGTCTGTGGTGCTGGTGTAAGGTCTGATGTTGTTTGGTCTTAAGGTCTGGTGCAAGTTTTCTTGTGGATTCATGCTGTGTGCCGCTGCTGCATGCTACTGGTCTGGGAAGCTGGTTGCAAGTTCTCTAGGCCTAGCAGTGGGCTATTGTGTGAACTGAAATGTGTCCCTTGCTGTGAGCTATTGTGTGAACTGAAATCTGTCCCTTGCTGTGAGCTATTGTGTCTGCCGGGCTGATAGGAATCTGTTGGGTGATTCTGGGCTGTTAGCATACTTGTTGCTACTGTCAGCTTGCCTCTGTTCTTGTCTTGTTTATTCCTCTTGTTTATTTCTTGTTGGGTTTGTTCCTCACCAAATTCCTGGGGTTGAGCTTACAGATGATTGGGCTCTCTTCTCGATGTCAACCTAGTTGGGATTGGGTTAGATGCTTGCTGCTCTTCCCCTCCTTTATTTGATGTAATCTCATTTCTTATATGATTTTTCATCAATAAAGGTTCCTTTTTTTTGCTGATAAAAAAAAAATAGTATGCCTTAAACTGTGTTTGGATTATGAAATTTTGTAAGAATTTATAAAAGAAAATAGAAAAAGTGTGTGAAATATAACTATACTTCATTAATATTTCATCCATTTTTTTTTCCTTACAAATTATTACTCAAATTCAGTATCTAAATAGGGTCTTAATATATCATCATTTGTTCTATGACTCTGCTCCACAAGCTTCATTATAGCACCTCATGGATAGGCTATTATTCCCAAATATGAAGTGGACTAGTTGTGTGTCCACGACATTGTCATTTTCTTCAATAGCTTCATTACATTTAGGGAATGACAAAAAGTTAATAATGTTTTAGTGGTAACTTACAAAAGTAATGTCAGTTCATGAAAAACTTTGTCAGTTTATCTTCTAATGTTGCAAAGCTTTTTGTTAATATGAATTTTTTTTTCTAAGTTTTACTGAAATGAAATTTCCTCTAGTATTTTATCTTAAATTCTCATATATAAGATGGTGTTCATGTTGCCCCTTTAATTTTAGAACAGTAAAACTTTGAACCGAGAAAGATTGAACCAAAAGTTTACCCAGAATGAAGATGAGTGGCTCAGATTCTCAATTTGTGTTGTGGGTGCATATAAAAAATGCATCTAGACCATTCATTCAAGTTTCTAGATAAATTTATGGATAAATAATCTGAGTATGTGGCGCTACTAATTTTAGAAGTGTCTTGGCAATGTAGGAGAACAACTTTTTTTTCTCGACTGATTTGTAATCAGTTTATTTGATTTCAGTTTTTTGAATTTGTTTTTTTGGAAATTGAGTTTTTGGTTTTTCATATTTTTTAAATTTTAAGAATTTTTTTTTTTTTTTTACTTTTTTAGATATACATTATAAAAATCATATTTTTAAAATTTTAAGTAAATTTTTTTTTTTACTTTTTTAGATATACAGTATAAAAAAATTTGTGAAAAAATATTTTAAAAAATTAAAAAATACACAAAAATAAAAAAAATGTACTGAATTTTTATTTTTTTGTTTTTGTTTTTTTTTTTGTGTGGGTATTTAGTGAATTTTTTAAATATTTTTTTCACAAATATTATACTTTTTAAGTGTGTTTATATATTAGGTGTGTCTAAAAATTAAAAAATTACATAAAATATTAAAAAAATTTAGTGAAATAAAAAAAAAGTATGGAAAATAAAAAAGTAGAATTCTCTGAAAAATTAATTTTGAAAATTAAAACAAATAGAGTGAATATGTTTAATAATTTGTTTTATTTTGACATAGCAAAAAGATGCCAAGTTATTTTATGTTCATTATTTTAATAGTAAAGACTTATAAAAATTGTTAAAAAATATTAAGTAAATAAAGTTTAAAGTAAAACTAGTAAAGTAATAAATTTAACATATCAGGTGGGCATTCTCTTTATATTTAGAGATGTCATTTATATGTTAATTTGACACCTAAGCCTTCAAAATAATTTGACATGAGTTGGGTGGAGATGCTCTTAGCAATGTTAAAGCTTGAGTTTATGCCAAATTTTGGTAATAACAAGACTTTTAGCTAGTTATTGGAGAAACATCTCTTGCAAGGTTTTAAATAGCGATATTAATTAGAAGATTAATTGGTATTAGTCGTAGAGTAATAATATTTAGAGTATCGAGTAATGTATTTTGAGAACCGAGTGATGCAATTAAATATTTTAAAATCATTAACCGCGAGAAATAGATTTATAACTGCCAAACTACTAGTATTGGCTGTGAACCCCCCACACCTGTCGTATCATGAAGCAATACATATCGCGGACATGCATATGATGTTGATTTCTACCAATATAAGTATTTGGAAATACCATATCCATATCGGATGATATGATGTGTGTGTAATAGATATTTCAAAATGTTATGTTTTGTGTGATTTAAAAATAGTTAGCTAGGATTACGAAGTAGAATTATGGCCATTTTGACTGAGTTTTCCCAAAATTAATATTGAAAACATTACACTTAACAATTTCTACTAAAGCTTACTCAATTCATAAAAATCTCTTATTCGAAAAAACCAAAAATGTATTTGAAAAAATTGTTTGGGAGAGCTCATTAATTGTATATATATAAATGCAATGCATATTTTGAAGATGTTCTCTAGTAAGACAATTCATTGTTCTTTCTTCTTCTTTTTATTATTATTATTTTGAAGTTATGTTAATCCACACGGCTTTCTCTCCCTCGCAAATAATAATAATTATTATTATAATAAGATTTTAGAAGAAGAAGAATTCCAAAGTAGAAAATTCAAACGGATAAGAAATTAACAGAATTTATATGGGTAAGTAACCCCTTGTCATTTTTTTATTTTTTTGATAACTGAACGTCCGGACAAATTTACGCGCACCTCGACCATTTGTGTGTACTCCTTGGGATATGAGGAGGTCAATCTTTTTGTGTTGTTTGTTTTTTGTTTTTATTTTTTGGTCAGCAAAAGAAAAAAAAAACTTTATTAATGAAATCAACATATAGTACATATAATTTTTTTCTTATACAAGTTATTGAGCTTATAGATATGTATTGATCGACTATGGTTATTTAGTTTGATTTAATTCTCCTCATATTTCTAAATAATAGTACCGATTGACCAAAAAAAAAAAAAAAAAACCAATAACTAGCCGTCCTTGTCATGTTAATGACAATATAACATTCAAAGTCACCATATATGCAACAAGTAATCGACTCCGTTCATTCCCATTTTAACATATTTCTCAATGTTATAATTTTATCTTTATCCAATTGATCATGACAAATTGTTTTCTTCTCTCTCCATGAACTCTCCAACTATGGTATGTAGGTGTAAGCAAAGTTGGCCAAATCCGCCACTTCTTCCACTGGCCTTCAAAGGCATACACCACCGGGACAAGGAAGAGAAGAAAGGTTCACACTAACGAAGATGGCGGTGAAACAAGGTGGCACAAAACAGGAAAAACAAGGCCAGTTCTTGTTGGTGGGACAGTGAAAGGGTTCAAGAAAATACTAGTGCTCTACACCAACTATGGTAGGCAAAGGAAACCAGAGAAAACCAATTGGGTTATGCACCAATACCATCTTGGCAATAATGAGGAAGAGAGAGATGGAGAGGTGGTGATTTCGAAAGTTTTCTACCAAACACAGCCTAGACAATGTGGTTCAACTTCAAGCCTTTCAGATTCAGTGTTTGACCAAAAATCAAGTCATGTAATTGAGAATACACAAGGTTATGTGGAGGGATATTATAATCCAACTACATTGATATCCTATGATATTGGATTTGGAGGGCAAAATAGGGAAATCACACCTCAGCTAATCCCTAATTTGGGTATTCAAGGTGATGGGTCTTCATTTATTCATTTGCCCAACAATGCAAGCAAAGTGAAAGTGCTTGAGAGGGAATAGACATGGCGGAACAGTTGATAGGGCAAACCATAATAAGGACTTGTTTGGTTGTTGTTGATATGATGTTTAATGGTTAAAAATAGGTTGAGATTGAATGGGATTGGCATAGGTATTTTCTTGGGTAAGTTGGATAGGCATTAACATTGTTTTCTTGTAGGAGTTTGTTTGTAGTTTGTATGTTGTTGGTAGGGATCATACAATGGAGCTAGTGTGCCTTTTGCACCCATTTATGTAATGGGGAGCTTTGTAATCAGAAAAAAACATATATAATGGAGAGATATATTGATGGAAAATGACATATACACACTCACATTTTTGTTGTATAAAGAGATGCACTATGGAATTTTACTTGTATTTATTAATGTGAATTTTATATGATCAAAATATTTTACAAATGAATGAAATTTTAGAGTGTAAATTTTATAACCCTACATGTTCCAAACTTGCACTCAACAAGATTTTCAATGATTTGTAATATGTGGGTGGACATTGTTTGGGCCCGTAAAGTTGACCACGGGTCTCGTTTTAATGATTCGAATAATTTATGTTATCAGATATTTTGCGTATTTCTTTAATAAAAAAAATTAAATCGATCTAATAATCATAACTTATTCAATTTATTGTGTTTTTCATTAAAAAAAAAAAGAATGTTATTTGTAAAAGCACAATTGTTAGTTTTTTTTTTTTTTTTTAAATACACAAAGTACCCAATAAAATAAATGATTCAAATTATTGAAATGAGACTTATGATAAGTCCTACCAACCCAAACAACATCCTTCAATTCAAATTATGAGCTGTACTCAAACTTTTCCTAATACTCCACTTTGATGATGGAACTGTACAAAGACAGTTGTTGCAAATTTCAGTAGGTTGTTTTACGGTTTATAATTTCATCACTATGTTTATTTTTGTTCTTTTACCATTTTCAACTTTTCAATTGAATAATAATAATAAGACTATGATTGTGATATTTATATGATAATATATTTTGCCTCTCTTCTAAGTTCTACTTGTCTTTACTTTAGCAGGAGAGGTATGTTTGGATTAGCTAATATGGGGTGCCCCCTAATTTATGGAACTAAGATACCTTCAGAAATATAGGAAGACTATGGGGGGAGAGGGTTTCTTAGATGGAGATGCTTGCACACCTAAATCATTTCGATGTGAAAGGTTCAAAATAGTTACAAGTGTTATGGATCTGATAAGTACAAGTCTGAACTTCGAGTGCAAAGGAAGAGTTTACAGAAAGTCATTGAAGACCAAAAAATATTTTTTTCACCATATGAAAAGAGCATCCCACAATCAGGGGTATAATTTGGGTCCGGCCCGACCCATGTCGGGCCTTACGGGCTCTCGCCAAAAAGCGGGCTGGCCCACAAGTAAGAAAACTAGGCCCAGGCCCAAGCCCAGGCCTAGGGGTATTCGGGTTTTGAGCGGGCCAATGGGCTGGACTTAGGCTCAGGCCTAAACGGGCCCGGCTCACCCCGGGCAACGGGGTGGGTTTTGGGCTGCCCACGGTCCACGGGCCATTTTTACACTCTTACCTACAATATACAATCCCAAACAAAAGTAAAATCAACAATTTATACATCTCTGTGAGTGTATGTAAAATTGAACTTTGGAGTCTACAATCAAACCATTTCTCGATATATATATATATATATAGACACACATGCATATATACATATATTCAAATTCAAAACCACAAAACTAACTCACAACAATAACTATGCAAATTAGAAATTGTTAAGAACGGAGTAAGGTACCGTTGATTCGAGTCTTCACAATGATATCGAGATCGAAGAACTCTGTGTTCCATCACTCTATTAGCTCCAGAACCATTCACTGTCTGCCCTCTCTGATTCTTCTTCATCCAGTTCTTCTTCATCAATATCTTCAACAATAAACCCATCTTTCTCCTACTCATCTGGCCCTTCTGCTCAAAAAAAGAAACAAACTATGTATTAGGCCACAAATATGAATTCTATATAATTATTAGTTCAAAAATTATCAAAGAAGCACATTACATACATTCAAAATAAAAAATAAAAAACCCAAAAACAATATAATTTGTTGAAAACCAGAACTCAAGAAAACACCAAATATTGCAACATGAAAGGAAAATGCAGATTTTTCCAATAAGTTTTCGGCGAAAAGCCGTCTCAAAGTTTCAATTTCTTGACAAAGATGTCACAACTTAATTAAGAAAGGAAGAACAGAAACTCAATGGACGATCTTTTGATTCACCCAGGAAACAAACGTCAAGCAAAAAAATAAACCCTAACGAAATCCCACAAACCCTACAAAACTCTAGCAGGGAAATATATTCGATTAAACACAAACCCACAAATTTATTGAACAAAAAATAGGAATCGAAAAAAGAAAAATCGAATCCCATACCATCCTCATCTTCTTTATCGTTGTCGTCATGGTCATTGACGTCGACTCCGCCTCCGTCTCCAGTTTCTCTCTCATCCTCCTCAACTTCAACCTCATCTACATAAATTGGTCATAAAAATAGTGAATGACGAAGAAACCTAAGAGAAAATTCCCATTTGAAGAGAAAGAAAAATAGGGGAAGAATTTGCATTACCCATCTTTTCCACCATACCCAAATCCCTCTCCTCTCGAATCTCCAGCTCCAACCACCTCCGTGACCTCCTACCATTCCTAGGCGAAGCATAACCCAATAAACCCATAGACCCATTTCGATTCTTGCATTGTCGGTGCAACCCATTTGGCTCAACAGGCTCTTCAGTCATGTCAAGTTTCTCCACCAAACAGGTATTCGATCTTCGGAGAGGATTCTGAGGCCTAGAAAAGGGCGATAATGGAGTGGTGATCTTTGATGAACAAGGGACTAAATCAAGATAGAGATGAGGCGTGTCTTCAATTTTTCTGTCAAAATAGGTGAGTCGAGTGAGGTGAGAGGCCGAAATGTGTGTCTCTTAGAGGTGAGCAGCGAATATACCGATCCGTCAAAATTGATCGAACCAAACCAATCCGCCGCATTTTGGACAGATGCGTGATGACGAGCGGACGGTTGCGGATTGATTTTCTCCAATCCGCTAATCTGGCGGACGGATGGCGGATTTGAGATTCCTTTGGCCGCAACCGAACCGCTAAACCGCGAGCACCCCTAGTAATTTATAAGACTTTGTGTTTTCAGTTTGTTTAAATATTCTGTTTGTGTTTTCAATTAAAAAATAGTTTAAATATTCTGTTGAAAAAAAGTTTTTAACTAGAATATCTTTTTTGAATTGAAAAACTAAACGTATTATTTATCTATATTTTTTGGTTTTTAAGTCTATCTCTAAAGATAATAAATAGAAAATATGATATATGCTGGTTGGTTTTTGTTTTCAAAAACAAATATAGATGTAACAATACAGAGACATACAATCTCTACTACTACTTTGTTTATAGTTTTGGTGGTTTGAATTGTTTTTATATTTTAAGATCCACAGATTGTAATACTTTATGTGGATGGGGCATGCTATTATTGTAGTATGTGGATGATGCATGCAGTGATTGTGATATTCTAAAGTTTCAAACTTTCTTACTTTGGATGAGGCATGCAGTGATGGTAATATTTTTTTAAGTCATTGACTGTAATACTTTCTTCCTTTTCTTTTTTTTTTTTGAGGAAGTGCACAAGTTGAATTATGTTGAAAATTTATAAAATTTGAAACCGCCAAACCGATTCGTATCTATCCGCCAAACCTCCAATCAGCTCAGTCCACATCTGTAGGATTGACGGACGGATGCGGATTGATTTTCTCCAATCCGCCAATCTGGCGGACGGATGGCAAATTGGAGGTTCCATGGCCGCAACCAACCCGCTCACACCCCTAGTGTCTCTCTCTCCCTCTTTCGCTCCCTCTCCTTTTCTTCTATGTGCTTTTGAAGAACCCTAGCTTTCAGCCTTCTACGTTCCTCTTGATTAGAAGCCAAAGATGTATTTTGAAAAAAAAAATTCTAATATACTTGGCGATTGGCGCCAAAAATTTTATTTTTGCGCTTATTTTTTTTTTTATCATACCATTCACGACATAAATTGTGCGTCGTAAAAAATACAATATTTTTAATGGCTAGCGTTTTGTGCGCTGTGAAAAATGAAATACTTTTAACGGCTGGCGTACGTGTGTCGTGTATAGTTGATGTATTAACGACATGTCATATGTATGTCATAGAAAGTTTTATTATTTACGACTAACATATATATGACAAGGGCCAACGGTATTGACATACATATTATGTACCATTGTGTGTCTATTGTGTAGGCCGTGGTTGAAAAATTATTTACGACATGCAAAAAAGCAAGTTGTAAAAGTGAGAAACTATGGTTTGTATTTATTGTATGTCGTTGATGTGGTGTTGTAAAAAATCAATTTTGTTGTAGTAATAGGATTTAATGGGAATTAAGTCCAATTATTAAGACCTATTAATAATTTATGGGTTCTAATTTTTCACATAAATATGACAAAGGCCAATGGTATTGATCAACGTGATTTTTTATAGATATGTTCTACTCGATATCTTTTAAAATGTGAACGGTTTAGATTATCGAATTGAGCCCTAAAGTAAGCCCAATAAAATGTGCAACAGTTGTTGCAGCGCACTATGCGCAACAGCAACCCCAATTTTTTTTTTTTTTTTACATTAATCATTTATTCCTAAAAAAATAAAGTTATGTTATGCTTCACCGCAATTTTCATCAATAAAGCTTTATTTTTGTTGATCAAAAAAAATCTTATGCTTCACCGCAATTTGAGAAGTTTGTTTTTACATTATTTATTTAATTTGAAATTTAAAAAAAAATCCTAAAAAGTTTAAAGAGCAAAAAATATTTTACCAAAATTATTCAATGATTCTCAATTTTTAGCCCCCTCATAAAAAGGTTTTAAAAATGTGTTCCATTTGAAAAATAGACAGTTTTTTAAATTATTTTTTTGAATAGAATTTTGAATGAAATTGGTTAAACCTTCAATTCTTTTCTAGTAATTTGCAATCACAGATAAACAATTATTACATCAAATGAAGAAATCATTTTTTTTTTTCATATGAAATTGCATATCCTACATATCAAGGCTACGTTTGTTTGGCGGATTAGGTTAGATGAGATTGTTAATGAGAGGATTGTTTGTAAAGAGATTGTTAATGTGTGGATTGTTAGTGAGGGGATTAAGTAAAAGTGTGTTTGTTTTGATGATAATGTGGGAGATAGTTAGTGATAGAATTGTTAAATTATTTTTATATAAAATAAATAAATAAATTATTTCTATATTAAAAAAAATAAAACAAATAGG